TAAGGAAAAAATACAAAATATGATGGGTAAAGTGCATGCAGTGCATAACCAAATCTTATAAAAACCAACCTTGATTTAAAATAATACAAAAAAATAAATAAACTAAAAGCTAAAAAGCTAATCTCACGCATTCATGAATTGCGATGCAATAAAAACTATGTACTATTTAGTAACAGGAAAAAACTTCCTGGACACAACGGCAAGGGAGCAAAACGAAATAGAAAATAAAAAAACTGATTAAACTACATGAAAAATTGATAAAAAAACAAATGAAAAATCCTTTAAGGTCTCCTACTCCTACAAGCTATATCGCGTATATAATAGATATGGGGTTCGAATACCGGCTGAACAATAATTATTTCGGATAAGTAAAATGAAGCCTAAAAAAAATCTGTGGCGCTACAACCTCTTTAGGTCAGGGCCTCAGATTTCTGAATCTGTTTCATGGTCATTCTTGAATGTGCAAGTAGGTGATCAGCCTCCAGTGCCTGACACACGCCGTCGACTTTTTGAGTCTAAGACATGTCTGTTTCCTCACGATGTTTTCCTTCACCGTTCGAGCGAATGTTAAATGCGCACATAGAAAGAAAGTCCATTGGTGCACAGCCGGGGATCGAACCTACGACCTGAGGGATGAGAGTCGCACGCTGAAGCCACTAGGCTAACACTGCTCTCTACTTAAAAAAAATAACAGTAAAACTAACACAAATGTGATTGTAAAGGCTTAAACTGTGGGACTAGTGGGACTACAAACATATTATTACATAGTTTTATTGGATACGATTTAAATTAATTAATTTTTAACATAAAAACGTAAAACGTAAATATTCGACAATCGTTTAATTTTTATCGAAGGGTAATGAAAGTTAACAATGTTACATGTTAATTTTCTCTAGACTAAGAGTTGGATAACGATTTTTAGACTCCTGTATTTACATCCTTATATTGAAAATACATATTTTACGTTTAAACGATTTTAGCCTTTGCACTATTTACACCAATTACTGACATTTGACCACCAATTGCCCACTTTTGTTACCAGGATTTATTTAGGGAATACAAAATCAGTATTATTATAGTATCTAAAGTATTTTTAGTACCTATTTTTTTATGGTTATAAAATAAAAAAATAAAAATCAATTTTTTGTGATTTTGTTTTTCAAAAACCATGATTCATTTCAGACTCCTGTCTGAATGTTTTTTTCGTAAAGAGATCACAGATACCCATAAGATGGCAATAGTGCATCGATAGCTATGGTACATACTTTGATTAATTAAAAATATTATATAAAAAAATCTATTTTATATGTAAGGACCTAATATTATACTATTATTATAAGGCACTTCTTTTTTTATATTCTTTTATAGGAGACAGGGAGAGTTTTATTGGGAGAGGGCAAACGAGCGGACGCGACGCCCAATAAGGGCAGTCTTCGCAACGGGCAACCCATGGACACCCATTTTAGTAGGTGCGTTGCCGGCCTTTGAGGGAGGAGTATACTCTTTCTTTAAACAATTGGAGATAGTATCTCCCAAGACCCCACCGTGAATCGATTCCACAGTTCGCTAGTTCAGACCGTGGAAGACTTCCAGACATTGAGGTGATGTTGCAAATAGTATATTCTGAATATATTTGACAGTATTTATGAGCTTTGTGGTAGTGTTAATAATGTGATAGGGTTAATGGGTATCACACATAATAAAAAGTATTATAGCCTATGGATATTAAAAAAAGAGAACAAAAGAAGTTCCTTAGCACCTTATATAAAAGAAGATACAACTTCTTTCCATACCTCTACCCTACTAAGTTCTTGATGGGGGTTTTAGAACTTCGTAGGGTAAGCTTTGATCAAGTTTGGTTTAACCATTATGAATAACGAAACGGAAAGCATATGCTTGCTGGGAGAGATTATAAGACTGTACGTTCCGGACAATAATCACCGCTGCCGGAAATATAACCTTTTTGTTGTGTATTCGGCTCGCACTGTCCAGCGACAATAAGCTACCATTCCCGACTCTTCGCCGGTGAACTGGTCGTTCACGCTTCATCTGTGAAGCGTATGGGGGGGGGGAATAATATACTAATTATAACTAATTTATAAAAATTACTTAAAATACCAGCTCCTGTAGTACAAATTACGTAATATATTCGTCGCGTCACCAGCCTAGTAACGCATCAATTGCGGGCAGTAAGATTCGGTTTACGACACATAAACTTCTAATACAAGTGATCACTTCAGGCCTTATTACACATAAACCAAGTAAATTACTTAGGGGTTAGACTTTGTTAGGACTAACTTATATTACCCCTTAATTCATAAAAAATAAGTAATTGCACACTTAACTAAAGTATTCTGTTGTCTCTGCCAAATATTGTTTACGCTGTGGTAAGAGACGAAGTACTTAGTTCAGACTTATTTGGTTTAAAATCGTTGTAGTATGAAGAATAAAGTGTATATTACCTTGCCGTAGCAACGCCATCTTGTGTAGCAAGTTGGTATTTGCTATTTTCCATTTCTGTTAGTTTAATAATAAACTTAGATTTTCAACGCATTAATGTTATATATACGTGTGAGCATCAGAGGTCTTTGCATAAACAATACATATGGAATACCTATCGTAACTGAAAAGTAACACAAAAAAAAATATATAACTTAAACGCTCCATCGGCGTATTTGAAATTTAACCGAAGCTCGGAGAAGTGGTTATTTCTCATTGCTTAAATGGATTTTTTTTATTGTATTTATTTTTTTTCCTTATTTCCTATTTTTAAAGTAACTTATTTCTATAATAGTAGTCCAACTGATACTGAACATGCCGCGAACACAATACTGATTATGAACAAAATATATAGTTGTTCGACAGGCGACATTAAACGTCATAATATGACGTTTGTCCAATCACGATCGAACACATCTTGCGTCATTAGCTCTTTGCATTCTCTTCCCCCCTCGTAGGGGGTAGACACGTAGCTTCGTACAATATCAGATAATGAAATATAAACTTTTACGTGAACTTTCAAAGTATCGTGCAAGCATGAAATGCACTTTGGTACGTTGTTTTCAGAGATATCGATGTGACACAAATATTTACCTGTTCTTTATAATACATATACGATACATTATTTATTCATTTTAATATTAAGAAATACAAAAGTTTTTAATAATTCTATTTTAATTCGAATTCTTCGCTAATACAACAGAATAAACGCTACTTATTCACAGCTTAATATATTTTATACAGCTGCCTTGTGATTCTGTAACTCACTTTTCGTTCCAGAATCGCAAGGCTGATCAATTAAAAAAAAGCTATCTTATAGTAATAACTTACATTTGTCGCAAATATGATCTGTTTAATAAATGAATAAAGTCTGCTTCTACACTATTTACATTCATATGTCTGGGTGGTAACGATATACGACACAAGATATTAATAGTGATAAAGTAAAATGTATTGATATTTATAAGGACCCACCGCGGGTAAAAACCTCCTCCAAGGTATTTCACAACTATTATTTATTATTTGATATAAATGGGGGCAAACGAGCCTACGGGACAACCAAAAAGGGCAGTCATCGCAGCCCATAGACACCCATTTTTAGTCGGTGCGTTGCCGGCCTTTGAGGGAGGAGTAGACTCAAATTTTGAAATGTTGGTCGTATCTCTCAGGGAAGACCCCCACCGGGAGTCGATTCCACATTATCTATTTATTGCTATCTCCAGCCATCTTCCTCCGCCGTCATTGCAATTTCGTCTGTCCATCTGAAACATCAAACAAGCCCGCCCTTCTTCCGGCTCTCGACCTTGAGCCTGGCGGCCCCAGCCATTTCACCAGTCTTTGCATCCACCTGATACCTTGTAGTAAAATGTTAACCTCTTGTATATATTATTAGATGTCTGTGTGTGTTGTCTTTATTGTGATGTCATTTTTGTTTTGGGTAACTCTGCTTAGATTAAATTCAATCTATCAAAATTATCAAATCTATCCTCACTGTGTGAAGACTTAGAACGTGACATTGGCGGAATTGTGATTTACACAGATGTCGCCATTATAAATAAAGTGAAGTGAAGTGCATCCACCAGTCATCGTTGTCGTCATTTCCATTGTCTTTGAACGGAGAAAGTTACTGCATCAATCTATTTTTCGGATATCTGTATTTCGTTCGTTTGTTTTGTCGTAACGATTGCCTTTGTTTCATTTTATATAAAGTTCGTATTGAATTTTTAAATATCCCTTTTGGATTATATTTTTTTTATTTACGTGTTCATGCTTTATTGGATCATTATTTAAATCTACAGACTCTTTTAATTAATAAATATCAATTATAATAAGATCTACTAATGTTGCTGTATCGATTGTCCTTATCATTTCTAATAATACCTTAACTTTATAATTAATATTATAATACATATTTTCTTTCTTTTCATGCCTGATAAATTTCAATTGTTCAACACAGTCTAACAATTAAAATTGTCTCACTGTCTATTGGCTTAGTTTGCAGTATTCGTATTTTATATTTTTTTTAATAATTGTGTCTAACATTACGATCTAGCCTAACTTAATAGTAATGAGTAATTTAAGTCTAACCTAATTGACTAAAGGATAAGTGTCCAATAACATTACTTACAGTCGCTATTAAGGGGAAGACACTCTGTTCTTGTGTTAAATTTTTTCACTTTTAGCACTTGAATAAATAAAGAAATTATGCTTAGTTATTTAGAGTATCTCATTATTATATTATTTAAAATTGAGATGAATAAATAAATGATTATTGATGAAGTATACTTGTCAGCTATAAGTTATTATTATATTCGTATCATTTCTTAAAACCTATTAATAAAATTAACTGCCCATTTAAAGAGAGTAACATTCCTCGAAGTAACTTAACCTCTGACATAAGATAACTTTATTTACTGAAGTATATTATATATACATATATAACATTGCAGATAACTTTTTCTGTTTATTTGCGAGAGAATGTTGAAATAGGACAGTGCAAAATGCTTCCAATATTTTCATTTCTATTGTTTGTTTTGGTAAGTGGATTTTTTCTTATTGTTTTAACGTTGTTTACTGAATAATACTGTTTAGTTAAAATATGTTTTGTTAAAAATTATTTTAAAAATTTTTTTATGTCTTTGTTTATAAACGGCATTTACGCATAGAATACAAAAAAAAATGTTTATTATGGAAAATAAGATACAGGTATTACACTTCCAAAGATCTTTATTAAATTATTTAATTACAAAAATGCCTTCATAAATCATGTAGCTTATATCGTTTGTATGTTACACATAGTATGTCAATATATTTTGATTTTGAAAAGTGACAACATATTATTTCTAAACCGAAAAATAGTTTGAGGTGTCAAAAGTAAAAAAAGTCAAAATCATTTAAACATATAGGTAACGATGTACACTTATGAACAATGTAAAGTGGGAACAAACCGTGATCCATGTAGTATCCAATTATTTCAGTATTATTATTATTTTCTTATGTAGCCAAGTCCACATTTCAAGGATCGTCATGCTCGCTTAAATGTCATTGCTTGTGGCGGCGTCCATGCGTCGGGTTGTCTCTCTCCCTAAAATATGGCGAGGGGGCCGATGGCTGGCCATGCGTCATACTCGTGAACGGGTGCTACTTGTGGTGACTGGTCGTACTTGAATTCGTGTATGCGGTGATGTTAATTATTTCGACTATGTGTTTGCGTGTTGTTCCCACGAGAATGTAAGTGCGTGCTCCTATTTCACCATGCCTCCTGCTGATAGGGGACAAGTCTTTGTTTTTATTTATGTTATTATTATTAATTACTTAAAATGTCATGTGGAACATGGTGTAATGGTTGCAGCTCCTTTCAAACGTTGTGTAAAAAAAAAAAACATGGCGATTAAAAGAGTGGCGGAGAGTTTATTGCCAGTTCTTCTCTTCCGTTCTACGCCCTTGATTTGAGAACTGGCAGTAAATGTAAAATTAGAAGCATTAATACTTATTTCTTTAATGACAAATCACAAGTGTACATTGTGTTACCTACGTGATTAAATGATTTTTTTTGAATTTGAATTTGAACGTCAAAAATATATAAGTATATATATATGAAATGCTTCTAATTTTTCATTTTCTGCCACTTCTTAAATCAAGAGCGTAGAACGGAAGAGAAGAACTGGTAATAAACTCTCCGCCACTCTTTCGCCGGTGGTGTCCTTATACCATAAAAGCCGTAATTTCAATCCGTATTGCTACTGAAGAGTCGAATAAATTAAGTTTATTCGAATGCATAATGCAAATAATAATATGAGTTGATAACGAGTTAATTATATCCCCTGTTTACATATTATATATAAATTAATTGAATATCGATGTACGAGTATCTTACCTGCAGGTCATGTCAGATATACTGTTTACGGCAATCACATATTGCTTATCTACAGTTTGAAATGCGTATTTTTATTTTCATAAATTTTGATGAGTGATCCTTAATATTTTAACTCGTCCCATTTCTTTTTATTACCTTTATTGTAAATATATTTATTATTAGTTACGTCCTCAAAGTTGATTTAGTGAGCGTTTGTGGGTATTGTGAACTATTGGAAAGGCAAAGTATTAGTAGTACCTACATCAGACTCGCCTCCTTTTTGTTCCCGAACTAATTTTCTCGATATCCTAACGACTGACAATTGTGTGCCTTTCTTTGTGGTACAAGTGATTTATAGCACACAAGCTGACCCGGCAAACGTTTGTTTTGCCATGTATATTATTTCTAGGAAACATTTTTTTAAATCAATAAAAATAGCTATCTACAATAATAAAAAATAGGGGTTGATCGTAGAGGGGTGAAAATTAGGGGTTATATGTATTTTTGTATGTTGTATCATAAAAAAATAAGAACAAAAAAGAATCTTAAGAATAAAAATAAATTTTTTGGGGTAGACACCGCTTCTCACTCAGGGGGTTGAAAGATAGATTGTAGCCGATTCTCAGACCTACTGAATATGCATATAAAATTTGATAAAAATCTGTCAAGCCGTTTTGGAGGAGTATGGTGCTAACATTGTGACACGAATTTTATATATAAGATTACACTTACACATGCACACCGTTATTGCACTTGTAATTCATACTCACTAAAGTCTAAAATCCAGTCTCTCTGTTATATTAATTATGTAATTAAATAATTAGCTTAATTCTTGATAGGATATTGCATGCATACCTACCTATGTGACAAAAAGTATTTAGAAATATTTTAGTTAAAGACATACTAAAAAAACCAGTGGCGCTACAAGCTTCGGACTTAGTCTCAGATTTCTTATGAGAGATTATTTCTAATAGGAAAGTATGTGATCAGCCTTCTCTGCCTTCGACGTTGTTTTCCTTCACCGTACATGTGTTAAATGGGCACATAGACAGAAAGGTCCATTGGTGCACTGGAGTCGAACCTCAGGGATGAGAGTTGCACGTTCACGCCAACAAGTTACCACAACAGCTAAACATAAATACTATGAAAAAAAAAGTATTCAAATAAATATCATTGTTCGCAGGCCTGCAAAGCGGATCACACTGAAGAACGAAACCGGGGAGCTACACTTGTATGTATAATATTATTATCTCATAATATTTATTTCACCCTATTACCCCTGTGGTTAGAACTTAGAGGTCTCTCTCAATTCTGAGGTCGTACATTCGAATCCCGACTTCGCACCAATGGGTTTTATTTCTATTTACGCAATGATATAGACATAACATTTATTACTAACAAAACACACACAAAATAAAAATAATCAAAAAAATATAAAAAAGAATGAAAGATAATATTGTAAAGAAATAGGTACGTTTTAAGTGTGTAATACGTGTGTGCTGTGGTTGTAATTGGCCCTGGCTCAGCATTATGCTGAGGAGCAGACTGTTCCACAGCGCTGGTCATTCTGCCAGAGACCACAGCAGCTGCAAGTGTCCAGCTCGACAACAATAAACAGAAGCCATTTACTTGTCTCGTAGAAGTTTATTATGAAGCATTTTTCTGAATTCCTATAAAATCACTGAACCTATTGTGAAATTAGGATGTTGCATATTTTATGAAGAGATCTGACATTTTTAAGGTATATCGGCTATAGGTATTCGGCCTTCAGTGGTCTAGTAAACCATTTTTGTTTTTTCGGAATTCAAACCTATAATTTGTATTACACCACACTTTAACCACTAAGATTCGCTCTTGTATAAAATAATAATATATAGGAATTGTGCATATTTTTAACAAATGAATTCTTTTATTTTTAGAAACCGATTTCAACGTGTTGTGATATCCCAGAGTTAGGTGACGATAAGTATTTAGCTGAGTGTTCTGTACCTAGATTGTCTGGACCCGTGAGTAGCAATTATGGTTATTATAATTTTCACCACTATGCCACATAAGTAAGAAGTGATATTGGCAAGTGAAATATTTATTAATTGCCCATCAAATATATCGAATGTATTCTATAGATTGGCTCTAAAGAAAAGTGTAAAAAATTTGAAAGCGGGAGTCTTAGGTCTTTTTAAGATTTGACCCGAATGTTTCTAAGGTGAGAGCTTACTCCCTGAAAGGCTGGCCATAGACTCAAATTTTATGAATGTCGTTGGCCTACGGTTGTCTCCTTGGTTGGTCATAATAAATTTTTATGACGGAGTGAATTATAATATATATAAAAAATAATTAACGACTATTGGAATAATCACTCCAATAGTCGTTAATTTAAAGATCTAGCAACATTGACAAATCGAATAAACTACATATTAACGGTTATAAACTGTTTAGATTTTGACGTTGTTAATTTACGAAATCTGTGACACATACTGACAATGGCAGCTGCCACCAGCGCCATTTCTCCGACATTAATAATAAAATATTAATACAGACTATCAAATAGATCTAGTAATATTGTCAAGTATTAACGGTTATAAAGACTTTGACGTTGACGAGCTCTGACATATAATAACAATGGCAGCTGATACCAGCGCCATCGCTCCGACATAAAATTCTAAAAATAAATAATAAGCATAAGTAAGTTATGATTAACATTGACAAAAAATATCACAGAAAATTAAACTACCAATATAATGAACACAAATAAGGAAACAATTCCAGATATTTAAACTAGTACATAAAAATTATTTCAGTGCAACGATGTCCAATGCGTCTTCGAAAAGTCTGGTTTTCTAGTGGACAAGTACACGATAAACAAGGAAGCCTACAAAAAGCATTTGCAGAAATGGCTTGAGGGCCACGAGGCATGGAAGGATGCGATCGACAAAGCCATCAAAGACTGCGTAGACCGTGACTTAAGGCAGTACCTAGATTACCCCTGCAAAGCTTACGACGTGTTTACTTGCACCGGTATTGCTATGCTTAAGGTAGGTTCTTGCCGAATATGTCTATGGTTGCTATGTCTAACTATTATCTGCGAGGTGGTTCCGTCGTGTGTCAGTTAACGTTTTGACAATTCGTACTTTTTTCGTAATCCTACAGCTAATAAAACACTTATATTAAAGATATTGCCACTGATGGTATACATAATATGTACATATTTATATAATATTACAATTGGAATACATAATTAAATACATTTAACTAAGTAATATCTAATTCGGCTGTGCTCATGATGCAGGTTATTAACGCTATGGATATTATTAACACTCTATTTAAGCATATTCTGCGATAGGTTAAACAAGTCTTGGCTTAAATAGTGGTCGTTGTATGTTCAGTCTGCTATATATTTTAACTAAGAAGTTCTATGAAATGTGATAATGTACGAAACATAAAACATAAGTACAATAATAGACAAAAAAACATTAAATAAACGACAGTAAATACTTAATATTTCAAAGAAAAAACTTCATTGTTACTGCTAAACAAAGTCATAGTCCCGCCTCAAATATTTCCTCACAACCTCTTTAGTGAGGTGGAAAATATCAACATCCTCATAATTATTATAGTTGTATAAAACCCTAAACATTGGCGAATTATGCAGGTAATTCGTGTTCGTACGAGGGACATGGAACAAATGTGAATATCTTGTCGTATACGGTGGAGAGATTCTTAGAGAAGTTAACGACAGCAAATACCCGCCTATTAAGAATATCGTGCAAAAAATAATAATAAATTAAAGTAATTAAAGTAAAATAATATTTAAAAGTTTAGAGGCGATTCCAGTAATGATATAAATTGCTATTAGTAGTAAATAAGCGGTTAGCAAATTAATAAATCTCGAAAATAAATATAAAATAAAAATTTACGGTATCAAAATTAACGGTAAAAATGTTACTCGAGCACCTACTTTAGTAGCAAAGCGTTATTTCCAAGCTAAATTAAAAACACCAAAATGTTTCAGTAATATCAATATTCATTAAAATTATTTTGACAGCAAAAGCATATGGTGCGTTCCACTAAGCGCTCACGACGATCACGCTCACGACCGCTGATTTCCCCATTCCACTTGATTGTGAATGTTACTGTCGTTAACTCAAGTGGAATGGATTATGGAGCGTTTCGGGCGTTCATGTAAATATTACAAATGTCAAGTTTGAAAATAGTAGAATTTTAAGGAGGTTAGGTAATCATAAACAATAAGTTTTGATATTTGTGACTTAAATTTATTTATGTTAAAAGTGAAGAATAATTGAATATTTTATAAATAATTTTGGTGAAGTTATCAAACAACTTAAGTTTAAATATAATCGAAATGGCTTTACAATTTCTCTTTCTGAATCAAATAATGTGATTTTTCTTGTCGCCATCTTTAAGCTTTGAATATAATAATATTATTATTTGTCATATTTCAAAAATTGCGCCAAATTATTCTCAACGTTCACAACGACCCACCTCTTTAGATGGGTCGTTGTGAGCGTTGCGTGAGCATTTGTCATGACGTCATGAGTGACGTTTTCGCCGTGACCACAACGACCGCGGTCGGTATGTGGAATGGCTAAAGGAGCATTTTGATCGTCGTGAGCGCTTAGTGGAACGCACCAATAGTGTTCTAGCGTAAACAGATGTGAATGGATTTCTTTTAAAATTTATGTTTGTTTCAGAAATGCCCTAAAGAGTTCTGGAAATGCTGAAGAGACGAAACTGTTTTGTAATACAATTATTAAAGTCATTATTTGACCTTTTTTATTTTAATATTTATATACCTTTCTCTTTCCAAATTATAACCTACCTTATGCTATACAAAGACCATAAACAACTGTAGACAAAACAATACTTTTGTTAAATATTGTCTTCTACAAGAGACTTATTAAAATTTAAATCTTTCAATCCGTGTTTTAAACTTATATAGAAAAATCCGCATTTTTTAAATTTTCAGAGACGTTATTTTACAGTGCACAAGATGTTTCAGCGTCTCACTCATCTTTTTCATTGTGATGTCTAATAGCAAACAAAGTCAATGAATGTGGTAAACAAGAATGCCATTATTTTGTAAATTTTTAGCAAGATCGATGCTAGAATGTGATACAATTCTAAAAGATTTCAAAATAGCAGGCAATGGGTAATGTAAGTAATTACCACACACCCAAGGAGATGTTGATGCAGTCCAACCCTTGAGATCAACCAAGGACCTTTACAATTTGTTATTGCGTATAGTAGTTAGTTACTTTTTTGTATTATGTAATTTTATTTAAATCCATTTCTTGTTTGTTCTTTGTTTTGTGTGCATTCTCGTATTAAAGGTCATCTGTTGGGACAGGATTGTGTTTTTTATAAACAAATAAAAACACCTAAACTAGCTTTTAATCAATCGTTAAAGAATGTATTTATTTGGTTCTAACGGCCCTTGTTATGTTACTTTCCTTGTTTACTTCACCTTGTTGTTTACTTCTTTTAAATTATTGTACATGCAATAAGTTATTTTGTTTTTTGTTACTATTATGTTCACCGTAATTGTCGCACATTTTTGGGCATTTAACTTGTATGATTATGTGTAACGCAGTTTCTTTAAAATGAATAAATAAATGTACAGTTCGATGTCCTATGGTTATTATGTTTAGTTTGTCGCGACACTACCGTTGACACTAATCAAATACCATGAAGGTCTTTAAAGTTAAGCGACTTTGGGACTCATTTTGATGTTACAACTTACGATATTCGTATGGAAATATATAAACTAGCTGACCCGGCAAACGTTTGTTTTGCCATGCATAATATTTCTAGGAAACATTTTTTTAGTTTAATAAAAATAACTATCTACAATAATAAAAATAGGGGTTGATCGTGGTGGGGTGAAAATTAGGGGTTGTATGTATTTTCGTATGCTGTATCATAAAAAAATACAAACAATTTTAGCTATAAAATTAAAATTTAGGGTTGGACCAACCTTAACATTTAGGGGTTATAAAGATAGCAGCCGATTCTCAGACTTACTAAATGTGCATAAAAAATTTCATAAGAATCGGTCGAGTATTTCGGAGGAGTATGTCAACGAACATTGTGACACGAGAATTTTATATATTAGATAATCTATGGAGGTTTTGTGTTCTACTCCTGGCGAAATAGTAATAGTTAGAACCTGTAGAATACTAACAAAAAATAACAGAGTGATCTGTGCATCAGACAAGACTTCTTTTATACCTCATAGGGGCTGCATAAGATTTCAATACAAAATTTATTATCTCGAGTAACTCCATCTGGAGTTGGCTATTCCATTCTCGATAGAAAACGGGAAACGCGAGAAAGCAAAGGGATAAATGATAAAGAGATTTCCTGTGGATCATAAAGCAAAATATAACTATGTAGATGGAACACAAATAGACACAATGTATTTACTAGCGGCCTATCCTGACTTTGCACGGCTGGTTTTATTTTTAGCTTTGGAAATAAAGATAGCGTTATTAAAAAATAAGAAATTTAGCCTTCTTAAGGTATTTTTTAGCCAAATACAAATCTTTCCTTCTTATAGTAATATTATGAAAATGACAATTATGCAAATAGTATATCATTTAAATATATATTCATACAATAGCAAAATTATTTAATACGAAAAATATGACACAATTTGCAAAGATCTAAACATTAAATCATTTGCGAATAATTGCACTTTTTCACACGCGTTACATAAAAGGGAAAAACATGTAATTTAAAATAAATTACTGTAATCAGGCTAACATTACCGTGGGTCGTTTGAGAGATTTATTAATGTTGAAAAAAGGAAACAGTACATCCTATTGTTAGGGCTAGTTGATCTGGTTCTTAGGGTAGGAAATTAAACACTCCAATGATGACTTGATTTACTATATTTCACACACTGACCCTACGTAAAATGTACAAACACCAACTTGAACAAAGGAATGGCCTGTGCGGTTCTGCTTTCTTCCGCGCAATCACCCTTAAGTGGCGCTGGGAACCCCGTTACGCCCATGGGCTTGCGGGGGGTTGCGGGATACGCGTCCCGCTCAACGGCGGGACGGTCGTTGGGGCGGGCCTGGAGCGGCCCTGAACCTCGTTTGCGCTGCGGAGCGTCTTCGCTCACGCAGCGCCTCTTGTCTCATGTCGGTGGGGCTGGTGGCGCCCCCCCGTGGCGGCAACGGGCGCGCTTGGGCGCGGTCGTACCACACCGGGTGAGACCCTCGGTTACCCGAGGGAAGCCCAGCGAGGCAGACCAGCGGACGAAACCTCAGCGCGCTCCGCGACGCCGACGGGAGGGGTCCAGCCCTTTTGTCTTGGATGTTGATGTTATAACAATTGTAATTGTGTCACTGAGATTCATCTGACTCCGCGCGAACCAGCTCGCGCGGGAAGGCTCGCCTGTGGTCTGGAGGTCGTGTATGATGCGGGGCGAGGCGCTGGAGGTGCTCGAAGCCGGAGGCGTCCGCACGCTCAAACATGCGCCTCGCCAGCTCGCCGATAAAGTCGTCTAGACCTTGCTGTCTTAGGTCTCTCGAAATAGTCGCGTTTCTCACGTAACGCGGCGCGTCGACGATACGTCGCAGGGTGGTGCTCTGCACGGCGCGTAACCGACGCCGGTGCGTCTCGGCCGCGAGAGCATACCACGCGGGCGCCGCGTACGTGAGATGTGGTCTGATGTAGGTCTTGTATAGGGCCAGTTTACGTCGTAATGGGAGGCTCGACTGGAGCACCGGGCGCAGTCTGGCGGCGACCGCCTTCGCGCGGCCTACGGCTGCGGCGACGTGCGGGCGCATCGTGAGGCCTCGGTCCAGCGTGATGCCCAAGTAGGTGACTTGGGGGCGCCACTGAACCTCGGCCCCTTGCAGGGTGAGCGGCGGCGGGAGCTTTCTCCCCTGCCCGAAGATGATAGCTTGTGTTTTGGCGGCGTTCGCCGTGAGGCGCCTCTCTGCCAGCCAGACTGGGAGGGCATCCAGCGACCTCTGGAGCTTGACTGCTGCGTGGCGCGCATTGAGTGAGGAGGCGGTGTAGGCGGTGTCGTCCGCATACAGCGCCACCGCACACCCCGCAGCGACTGGAACGTCATTGGTATAGATTGAGTATAGGTCAGGAGAGAGGCAGCTTCCTTGAGGGACCCCCGCGGCGATCGGCCGGCAGCTTGACTTGACCCCCTCGACGGAGACGTAGAAACGCCGGTCGGAGAGGAAGGAGCTGATGATCGCCACCACGCGCCGCGGGAAGTCAGAGCTGAGGAGCCTGTGCACCAGCCCCGCGTGCCAGACTCGGTCGAAAGCCTTCTCCATGTCGAGGAATACCGCCGCCGCCACCTCCTTCTTGTTTAAGGCGAAAACGACGTCGTGCAGTACCCTCGACAGCTGTAGAGTCGTGGAATGCTCGCTCCGGAATCCGAACTGTTCGGGCCTGGGAGTGAAGTGCCGCCTGATGGTCGGCAGCAGCATGGCCTCGAACAGCTTGGATTGTGTTGCTAGTAGGGAGATGGGGCGATAGCTCGCCGGGTCCATAATGTTTTTGCCTTTCTTAGGCAACATAATGACTTTCGCCTCTTTCCATGGCTCGGGGAAGTGCCCGGTCCGGAGGATCGCATTAAATAGACGCATGAGCGTCACCACCGCACGATGGGGCAGGTGACGCAGAGCTGCGTTTGCGATACCGTCCGGGCCGGGAGCCTTCTTGGGCTTGAGCCGCGCTGCTTGTCGCTTGACGGCGCTCGGCGAGACGAACAGCACCTCTTCGTCTGCCGGCGGAGGGGCGCCTAGCTGCTCGACGACGGCGTTCTCGACCTCTAACGCGCGTGCAGGGTCCGCCGCGGGGTTAGGGGAGAACTGCCGCTGAAGGTGGTCTGCGAACAGCTCGGCGCGCGCCTCGGCGTCGTAGCGCAGCGTTCCGTCCGGGTGTCTCAACGGGCGGATCGGGTCGGCTGCGCCATTGAGGCGCCTGCACAGTCGGTGCAGCCGTACCCAATCAGTTGTGGCCTCGTCGAGACAGCGCTCCCACGACTCGTTGCTATGGTCCTCGAGCGCAGCCTTTACCCGCTCGGCGAGGGTGCGCAGTTCTGCGCGCATGCGCGGACAGCGGGTCTGCTGCCAGCGTCTCCGCAGTGCGCGTTTGCGGCGAATGAGCGCCAGCAAACGAGGCGGCAGCTGCGGGTATGTCGCCGGCAGAGGGCGCTCGGTGGTGGCCGCTTGAAGTGCACTCTGAAGCATCGAGGTGACTATGGTAGAAAAATTGTCGATTGATGTAGGGGTTTCGGGCGGACGCGGCTGTGGTGCGTCGTCGAGGGCTCGCTCGAAAACCCCCCAGGGCCTGTGCGCATGTGTTACCAGATGTTTTATGCTCTCGTCCCCACTCTGACTCGACCTTCCCACTTCGGGCAGTTATTCGAGTCAATTCGTAACATTTCGTAAATAACCGAACGAGGCAATGAGTAATTATTGCACATGCGCACTTGTAGCAAAAGAATATGTTTCATAAATTATTTAGAATATTATTAAATAAATAATAAAAGCTAACACTATTGTACACGGCGATGCTTAATTTATTTATTAAATAGTAGAAAAGAAGGTGGGCTGATGATAGAAATAGCCTTCGCCCAAAAGGGTCCATATGACATCATATATAGAGGAACAGCCGATTCTAAGAGTAGCAGAAATCAAAGATCTATTGATTTAAACGTAGAATTGAATTTGGCAGATAACATAAAAATAATTTATTAAACAGCCCTGCGATTCTGTAACTCACTTTTCGAACTCACACAGCGGTTTTCGCATCGGCGGTCGCTCGAAAAGTGAGTTACAGAATCGCAAGGCAGCTTATAAGAATTTAGGGTTTATTTTGCTTATGGCCAAAGGATTTACAAATATAAAAGCGATAATGGCACTTGTTAGGAGCAAATTGGAATGTAACTCTAAGATTTGAGCCCCACAAGAAAAAAATAAATAATTGTGGAGCGTATTCAAAATAAATTAATGAGGAACTTACATGAGGTTGTATGTACTCATTGTTCCCAGTTATGTATCCTACTTAGTATATTACCGAAAAATAGGAAATGAGGAAATAGAAAGATATCCAGGTGACTAACATATTGGCACTAAGGTTTATAAGCTTTAAGTACTAACAACACTACTCAAAACTCAAAAACAACATTAACATTTGAAATGGAACATAAAAAAGGCATTATTATTATTATAAAGACAATGTTTAGCGAAATTGATATGATCAAGTATTAACAAACAAAACGCAATAAGTGAATGACTAGGGTTCGAACTCACAACCTAAGGGCTAATATTAATTACATCGGGTTCATTTTTTTTTTTTTTTTTTTTTATCATTGACATTAACACTGCTAAATACTTCCATAATATTTTACTATCGTATCCGGGTTACTGGACTAGAATTAACTCCACTTTTGTTCTCAGTTTCATCGTGGAATATTCACACTTCAAATAAGAACTCCACAAATATGTCCTCGCTACAAGTCTACCTGCCAATTGCCAATCCATAGAAAGGAATATCAGAAAACATATTTTTAAGACTACGAACCCTGAACTTTACAACTTAATATTAAGCCAATATTTTAAAGCTGAAGCGTCTGTTTTTTGATACACTCTCATCGGATAAATCGAGGAAGATTATGAAGTAATTAGGTTTAAAGACTTTATTTCTCAAAAAAGACAAAAAATTTCACTTACACGAGAATAATACTCTAGATAACATAACATTGTAGTCGTTCTTAAAATAATCACAATAAAATATAGCCGTACATGCAAAAAATTTAAAAATAAAAGTGAACAAAGAAATATGAATTAAAAGTAATTATAAGAAATGAATTTAAAAGTAATTTTGTTTAACATATTCACTTAGCTTCGATTTGAATGAATTGATAGAAGTAATGTTTTTTATATCTGTGGGTAGTTTATTATACAGCTGTGCGCCTTCGTAGGTAAACATTTTTTTGCCGTAGTTCGTACGTACTTTAGGCAATGCAAGATAACTCGTTCGACGCATGCTTCGTACACGTGGCGGTTTAGAGAAAGCTAAACTAGTGTGGAGAGAACTTGTTATAAATTTTTTTACAAGAATACATGTGTGATAAATATAAAGTTGTTTTAGATTCATTATGTTTGTGTCTCGATATATATTTATGGTAGGTGCAAGATAATTATACTGGAACAGTATTTTTATAATTTTATTTTGTAATACTTGAATATTTATTAATTTAGTTTTAGCGGCGCTGCCCCATACTTCAATTAAATAAAGTAGATGTGGCTTGACCAACGAGTTGTAGATGGTGTAACGTACCTGACGTGGGATACACCGAGCAATGTGTCGAAGTGATCCCATAAGTGAACAGAGCTTAGATCTGATGTGCTCAATTTGTGTATTCCACGTCAAACCGCTATCCATTCTAAGACCGAGATATTTTTCTGTACTTTTTTCTTCTATGACCGTGTTATTTATTTTTAATGGATCATGAGGTAAAACTTTTTTATTTTTAGATTTAAATATAATGTAGCATGATTTCGACGCGTTGACAGTGAGTAAATTATATTGAAACCAAGTGAAGAGTAGATTAAGGTCTTCTTGGGCTCTGCTGAAGATATCTTTGATTGAACTGCCAAAGTAAAATAAACACGTATCATCTGCATATAAAGTAAGGTGACCGTTTAATCCAATTTCATGCAAGTTATTTATATAAATAAGAAAGAGTAATGGACCCAAAATAGAACCCTGTGGAACGCCGTATTCGATAGGCAACGGTTTACTCTGAGTATTATCTATTTTAACTACCTGAAATCGATTTTTTAAATATGATTGAAAAATTTTGAGAGCTGTGCCTATGATTCCAATGCATTCAAGCTTTTGTAGTAATAGTTTATCGTAAGTAAAACCGCAGGACACGGCCAGTGATTCATATATCGCTCAGTCCCTAGATGTTTGACATTTGTTTGTTTGCGCTCTGGGAATTCATAAACGCGACAACAATCTACGGAACTCAAACAGTTAATTTGTAAAGGTAAAGCAAAGGGGGTTTAATTAAGAAAACCCCTTTTTCATCAAGTCCATCAGACCGCAGTAATTATTTTTAAATTGATAAATCGACGATTCGTTCTGGGGATTAGTCACTAAACTGTCCTTGTATATATATTAAAAATTCATGAATATTTTGTATAATTATTCTAAAAGTCTTGTTCATAAAACTAAATGTGGCCTGAGCAGTGTTGGGCTAGTGGTTCCAGCATGCGACTCTCATCCTAGAGGTCGTAGGTTTGACCCCCGGTTGTGCACCAATGGACTTTCACTCTTGTGCGCTACATTCGCTCGAACGATGAAGGGAAATAGCGTGATGAAACCGGCTTGCCTTAGACATAAAAAGTGGACGGCGTGTGTCAGGTCAAACTAAATACACACATTTATAAGGGGTTCTTTGCGTTTCTATAATCATACTGTATTCTTCTGAGTCAGAATTAACCGAAATAGTATTTATTTATTTATTAATACTTCGTTGGAACGTGGAGAAACATAATACAATTGACATAATTATAGGAGGACAACTGGCGGCGTTATCGCTTTCGAGCGATCTCTTCCAGACTGTGAAAAAAAAATTAGGTAAGCAAGAAGTGCAAAAATACATGAGACATATAGTTATTTAGACCAAACTAATGGAACAAAACAAAGCAAACATCTGTAAACAGTGATCAGGACAATATTTAAAAAAAAGGACACGTGAAAAAGAATTTGCACATGAATCACGATAATTTTAGAAGAATTTCACTATGTTGATCAGACAGTTAAATTAAGTGTTCTAAAGCTTTAAAAAATTATATTTCCGTTAAAAGTCTACCGGAAGTTACTATTTACATTTTAAATCGTACTTCCGGTGGGCACCTGTCACACCTGTTACCTGCAAATTTGTCGAAATTTTTATAATTTGTTCGTTCACGATGTTAATAATCAATGACAATGCCTTGGTGGTTTCCCGTGTTACAATGCTCAGGGCCGCAGACATCTATAAAAGAGTATACGATAACAATACATCATCAGTGTACCTACAGCTCTCGCAATGTTGGGATTTACGTGTTTTCTCATTATTCTATCTACATTACAGGTAAATTATGGATAAAGTTTAACATTGATGTATTTATTTATATGATTGCGGTATATTTAGTTTCTTTAGTAAAACAATTGTTGTTCAAACTATAAAAAAGTTGTGTGTTTTTTAAAACACCGCGATGTATTAAAAAAAATGTTACGCTATCAAATTAATCAATCAAGTTCCTGATTAAATTTGGACAATCACCCCCTAGAAGCTTAAGTTTGGACAACAAATTTAAATAACTTAACGGTTCTTTTTATTATGACAATTAAAATGACATTTGCATGCCTATATTAAATTCGATTTTTTTTTATAATTAATCAATCTGAACCACCACTTTCTTTGCATATGAACGATTTATTATTATTAGTAGTAGTGGTATCTTATTGGTAGTATTTTATTACTTTTAATGCGGTAAAAAGTAAAAAAGAAAATGTTCTTGATAAATATTTATGTTAATTTCAGAGCGTAATGCCTCAAGGCCCAGCTGGTCTCTGTGGACCACCCCCTATTGTAAGTAAATTCTTTATTATTTATTACATTTATATTATATATCAACCTTGATGCTTATAAAGGTTGTCGTTAATTGAGAGTTAAACGGTATTTCTTAATAACAGTTATATTTTTTGTGCCAATTAAATATTATCTAACCATTTTTATGATATGTACATATTGTCATTGCAATCACAGCACTTCCTACTCTGTGCTCTAGTATATGCCAATTCTGATGTAATTTTTGTAAGATTTTGCTAGGGCCTGAGAGATGGCGCTGCCACGTCTCTTAATTATTAGACGTTTATTTCCAGGATAAACCATTCGAATGTTGTAAGATGCCGCACCTTTTTACTAGTGAAGAACGCGCTGAGTGTGGCTTTGAAGAACCTACAGACGGCAAACCACGACGCCCAATTGATGTAAGTTTTACAAACATCCACTAGATGTCGCAATTATCAATAAAATATAGTCGGTAATTATTTATAGTTCTGGTTTAAACAAACTTTTACTATCGTGAAATGAAAAATTAATATCCTTATTTTATTATATTCATCAGAAATTAAAAAATAAATTGTATCTCTATAATAATATCCAATGTAAATAAGTATAAATTTAGCCTACTGTGAAAATGTGTAAAAGTAGTTTTTTGAAATTTTTTTAGTGTAGCAAACTAATATGCCTTATGAATAAGAAGAATTTGATGAAGGACGACAAGAATGTAGATTTAGATGCCGTATCAGATTACTTAGATAAATGGACTGCAGAAAACGCTGATTTTAAAGATACAGTGGATAAGGCAAAAGAGAGATGTCTCAAAGAGGATGTATCTGGACCACCAGAGGCATGCTTACCAGACAGAATCGTAACTTGCATGTTCTTCGAGACATTTAATGTAAGTATATCTTTGTATGTTAACTTAACCATGAGTTAAGTTTTCATTTTATTTATTTTTTATCTTTTTTAGTTATTATTAATTTTTAATTTTTAGGTTTTATTTTGTGGTTTGTTTATTTTCTTCCTTTGACAGATTGCTTATGTTCTAATATAATTGATGTGTATGTGTGTTAAATTTGTGATGTCATATTATCTTGTATTTTTTAGGCATACACATTGTTTTAGAACGTATAAATCTAATATATAAAATTCTCGTGTCACAATGTTCGTTCCCATACTTTTTTGTTTTATTTGTTACTTCCCAAATTTTATTATGCATTTTCAATAACTCTGAGAATTGGCGTCTATCTATTTTTCAAAACCCTAAGTGATAAGGGGTATCCACCCCAAAAAAATGTTTTTATTTTTTAGACAAAATTTTTTGTTTTTATTTTATTATGATACATACAACCCTTAATTTTTATCTACCCTCTACGATCAACTCTTATTCTTATTAGTTAAGAAGTTATAATTTGAACTCTGAGGTTTATATAGACAAAAACCTAAAAACTTCTAATTTGGAAATTGGAAATAATTTTTTTTTTCAATAACGTATAAACGGGCTTTGAGTCAAGTTATTTTAAGGTTATTTTAAGGTATTTAAGGATTTTCTTTTCAGAACTGTCCTAAATGGGAAGAAAATGAAAAATGCGATAAGATGAAAACACACATGGAACAGTGCCGAGCAAGGCTAACCTAAACATGAATTCGTGGATAATTTTTGTAATGGCACTAATTGTAATTAATGAAGTACTAAATGTTGTGACAATAAAGGATTAAGTTGGCACTTGTTTTTCGTTTTACTTCTTAGTAATAAAAATAAATCAGTGGCTCTACAATCTTTTTAGGTCTGTGTCTCTAGCTGTTTCATGATCATTTGTTAATCTAATAGGCAAGTAGGTGATCAGCCTATTGTGCCTGACACACGCCATCGACTTTTTGGGTCTAAGGCAAGCCGGTTTCCTCACGATGTTTTCCTTCACCGTTCGAACGAATGTAAAATGCGCCCGTAGACAAAAAGTCCATTGGTGCACTGCCGGGAATCGAACCTACGATCTCAGGGGTATGAGTCGCACGCTGAAGCCACCAGGCTAACACTGCTCTATTTCTTAAGTAATATCGGGTATAAATATAACTCTTGGAATACGAAAAATTATTTTATTTTTGCTCTCAAACATCACACATTTTAGAATGAAAAAAGAAACTATTCGTACCCTCTTAAACATAAAAAACTAAAACAGTTTTAACTAATTCTTCTGTTTCTTTCCAGCACATAGTAAACACAATTGGATAGAAAGAGACGAAAAAGTACTTTAATTAAAAGACTATAATTAAACTAATTTAGTTTTTTATGAATATATATGAGTGCGTTTTCTCAGTAGATTTTTAGTGTATGTTTTCATAACGTAAAAAAACAATAGAAATACCGCTTTTCTTTTATTGTAGCAAATGTATTTAATTGAAACGATACTGTTATCAAACAAGAATTGTTTAATGTTTCACAAAAACCCAAGTAGTTTGTATAATACTTGCTCTTACACATTTGTCCAGGAGAGAACATATATTGTCAGTACGCTAAAATATTTTTATCTTTTAATACCCGATGTCAGTATAGTCATAATGGAGTATTTAGTTATATTATTGTTTGGTGTTCTAAAGGTATCTGCGCAATTCTACAACATTATCAGTGAAAACCCGATAAAACCAGAAAAATGTATGGGATCGGATGATATTTTATTAGTAAGTATTGAAGAAAATTGTGAAGCTAAGTTGGGATTTGCTCTAGTAGACATTCGTCGGGGGTACAACCCACATACAGTTGAGTCCATTTCCAACGTGGATGATTAGTTTTCAGCTGTAACCATCTGTCAGAATCTGTCTGAAAATTTTTGCTTAGAATTTTGGTAGGTGTTACTTACCTTAGCCGGGATCACGCACATCTATCTACAGGTCAAAAAAAAGTCAAAAGTCCTAAATCATTTATTCATATAGGTAACACAATGTACACTTATGAACGTCAAAAAAGAAATATACATTAAATGCTTCAAATTTTACATTTACTGCCAGTTCTCGAATCAAGGGCGTAGAACGGAAGAGAAGAACTGGCAATAAACTCTCCGTCACTCTTTTTAATCGCCACGCTTTTTGTTTTACACAACGTTTGTAAGGAGCTGCAACCATTACACCATGTTCCACATGACATCTTAAGTAATAAATAATAATAAAATAAACTAAAACAAAGATTTGTCCTCTATCAGCAGGAGGCATGGTGAAATAGGAGCACGCACTTACATTCTCGTGGGAACAACACCCAAATACATAGTCGAAATAACTAACATCACCGCAGACACGAATTCAAGTACGACCAGTCACCACAAGTAGCACCCGTTCACGAGTATGACACATGACCAGCCATCGGCGCTCTCGCCATATTTTAGGGAGTGAGACAACACAACGCATGGACGCCAGGCATTGGCTAACTAGGGTAAATAATATAATCATATCTAGATTTGTTCTAGGATCGGCACTGTTGTATTGTACCAGCATTTTTTGATCGCTTCGTGGTGCGATCATGTGGTGGCATTACGGAGATATTTGAAGTTCACAAAAAGGAAGGAGTCGCTTTGGGACGGCGTCATTTTGTTCCAGACGTAAGTTATTTTTTTAATGTACCTACCTCGACTTACGTCGTTTCGATTTACGTGGTTTAAAGTTACGTCGAACGATGTTTTGACACTATTCCTCAAGCATACATCATTTGTTTCGATTTCCGGCATACGAGAATTCACTTGTCTTGTGCAAATTTGGAGAATTCCATGAAAATTTTTGAAGAACATGATCCTAATTTTGAGAGAAGTTTCAACTTTAATAACAAAATTTGTGCAGCCTATCAGTGTTACCAAGATCTGTATACCAGGAAGAAAGAATCGAAGCAATCTAGAATTGATAGTTTCTTTAAGCCAAAAGTTTAATTTATTATGTATTTCTCATTACATATTTTGATTACATATTAAAGTTTTATAATTATTATTAAAATTAACAACACACAAACACCAAAAACAACTAGCAATTTAATAAGTGCATATATAATTATTTTAAGATTAATTTTGATAATAAAGTATGTATATCCTTTTTTATAAATGCAGTTTTTTTTAATTTCGAGTCCGTGTGGACATTAATGTCTCGACTTACGTCGTTTCGATTTACGTTGCGTATTTCGAGAACCAACATGCCGTAAGTACGAGGACTGGCTTGTAATAAACAGTACATATATCTAATTACAATTTAAAACTAAACAATTTGTTTTTTATATCAAGTTTTGTTTATCATCAGAGTAGCTGAAAATAAAAACGGGCACTATTCGTCGTATATGACATGGCATATATATGTATATCGTATATGATATTTAGTATATGATATTTTATCGTATATGATTTTATCGTAGATGTATTATCGTATTGTTATTTGATGATTTGCTATTTTAAAAGAGTACCGAGAGTTTTTTTACGCCGGCTTTTTCTCTCGGCCTACACCTTCTGTCTTCTTTGCCGATGAGTAGGGATGCCTACAAATTCAAATTTAACGACGTGGAATAAGTGATACATGAATCTTATGTTCCATAATAAACATATATTTTTTTTTATATATGGCATGACATAATATATTCTGTATAGGAATAAATAAATAACAGTGGTATTTGTCTATTTATCTTGTACCATCTTATGCGTATTGGTATTATTCTTTAGAAAAGCTTAATAAAAGTATAACTTACATCATGTGTCTTCGATGCTTAAAATAATAATCGCCAGTTCTCGATGTCACATGTCTCCTAATAAATAATAATAATAATAACGTTATTCATGACTAGAGCAGTGTTGGCCTAGTGGCTTTAGCGTGCGACTCTCTTACCTGAGGTCGTAGGTTCGATCCCCGGCTTATTTAACATTTGCTCGAACGGTGAAGGAAAACATCGTGAGGGAACCGACATGTCTTAGACCCAAAAAGTCGACGGCGTGTGTCAAGCACTGGAGGCTGATCACCTACTTGTCTATTAGATTTAAAAATGATCATAAAAGAGATTCAGAAATCTGAGGCCAAGACCTAAAGAGGTTGTAGCGCCACAGATTTTTTTTAATTCATGACTAAAGGGTTGTGACAAAATTCATCTATCGCTAACCCCACACTAGGGAGGCCCTTTGGATAATATGTGTATATTTTACAGTGCACTTTCTGGGAATGCGTTTTAAAAAAATACAAAATGCTTAACGAAGACAAAACTGTTAGTACCGAAAAATTTTACACGCACTTAGAGAAGTGGGCATCGTTGAACAAGCCATTTAGTACTCTATTGCTGAGTGCGAAGATTCACTGTAGACAATACTTCATAATGTTTATGCCGCTATCCACTTGTGAATTTTACAACTTTCTACTATGCTTCCGAGATTATTTGAAACTATATGTAAGTATCTGTATAAGCTATTAGTGTCTCTTTATATATGCTTAATTGTTGTGCAGTGTTGGTCTAGTGGCTTCAGCGTGTGACTCTCATTCCTAAGGTTTGATTCTCGGCTGTGAACCAATGGGCTTTCTTTCTATGTGCGCATTTAACATTCGCTCGAACGGTGAAGGAAAACATGGTGAGGAAACCGGCTTGCTAGACCCAAAAAGTCGACAGCATGTGTCAGGCACAGAAGGCTGATCAAGAACTTGCCTATTAGATTGCCAAATGATCTTGAAACAGAAATCTGAAGCCCAGACCTAAACAGGTTGTAGCGCCACAGATTTATTTTTATATGCAAGTTTATAGCTGAAAGACGACGAAGCCAATTTCTCTGTCCTATATCTTGTGGGACTTTATATTTACAATCCATACTCATTATTTAATATTACAGATGAAAGATCTGTTCATTTATTTTTTCTAAACACAGTAAAACTTAAAGAAAAGGGGCCGTTCATAAAATACGTCACACTAAAATCAGCTTTTTTGACCCCCTCCCTCCCTATTGTCACGCTGTCTCACACTTTCTGTGACCCCCCCCTAGAAATATTTCGTCACAAAAACTAAAGACCCCCTGCTGAGTATGATAAATTCTAAATGATAGTTCACAAATTCTGAAAATTAAAAATATATATTTAGTTATAATAAAATTTAAATAAATTAATAAATATCTTTCATAACGAACATATAAATAATATTTATATTATTCAGAAGTCCAAGGATTTTCTAATAATGAAAAACGGCGAACGTCACGTTGCCGTATAACCCCCGTCCCCCCTTGTCACATCTTGTCACACTCAGCCAGACCCCTCCCCCCCTTGTATGCGAACGTATTTTATGAACGGCCCCATTAACATGTCATGCATAAATACTTAATTTTGCATATCAAAAAGTCTTACAGCCTTCATTAAACTTGTGTTTCTTTATATGTATTATTTATCTACATTTCTCCAGTGGCATCTCAATAAAAAGTTGCCAACATACAAAACCAGGCTAGCGCACTGTAAGATGTTGTCATTGGAGAATTGTATAAAATTTATTGATGTATCGTTTGAATTTAACAATCGGTTTGATTGTCCCAACCTTTTATCAACATTTAAATTTCGTCATGTCATGCCAGTCATGCCATCATTCCATTTGTCCCTTCTTTCCGACGAACGCGTTTTGTTCAAAGCTCACCGATGTCCAGATTGAGCATTCTGATAAACGAGCTGGGTCTGGATATCAATAGTCGCTCCCCTCTATATTTTTAGTTTAATATTTGTATTATCTCTTATGGCATGTTTGCCTATAAGTGCTTGTCACTGTATCAGTGTGCCAAACGTTGGCAAGCATTTATCAATAAAAATACATACTTCGTTGGAAGTTTAAACAAAAGACGTAATCAAATCCTTTATGTGGATTACCTTAGAGAATTACTTTTAATGTACTATTTTCTTTCAGGACTGTCCAGTATTAATACAATCACAGAAATGTTACGAATGGAAGGAATTCTTCGACGAGTGCAAACAATATTATTTAATGTAAAAACAAAAGAATATTTAAAATGTTTATTTCATGATAATTACAATGAATGAACTATTTTATAACTTATTGTTTATTAATACTACGTCCTCATTACCTAATCCAAGATCTCATCTTGACATTAGATATGCATAAAAAATTACCGTTAATTTACGAAAAACTATTACATGAAAAATTATTTTACTATGTCGAATTGAAACTAATGAATTATAATCCGATGAATTATTGTATTTAAAGTGTGTTATATTTGCGACAAATGTTACTATTATCTTAGTTAATTTTTACACAATGTTATCGGAATATCAATGAGATTATTTCTAGATAGCTAAGTCATATAAATCAAATTAGTATGTGGGTACGAGGATACACTATTACTTTAATTAGCATCAGCCTCAATAATCGAAAATCAATGTTAGCGTAATACAGTAACATATTCGATAATTTTTGTATCGAATAGTTGAACATCGCTCAGTATTTGAAACTGAGCCAAATCAAGACTGCTATACCGATGGATATAGAATCTATGCGTTGTAGCAGACACTCACATAGCATCGGAATACTAGACAAACCTAACGATAAGCTTGTGCTATGCCATTACATTGATTTGTGTTTTTACTTGAACTTGACAAATTTTCAGAGCAGCTTGCAAGCTTAGTTCGAAATTGGAATACTGGCTTTGCACAAGGACACTATGTATATTTGGCCTTTTTTAAATAGTTATAATCGAAGTACCTCCATACCAAACGACATAATACTGTCACATAAGTGCTCATTAACCTAATCCACGCGCCAATATCTTATCACTTTCCCTAAGGAGTTCGAGTATTACACCATTAATACACCATTAACTACATTAATTATACGCTGGCAACATTTCGTACTAAGCACATAGCAATTTCTTCTCCAAAATTATTACAGTGTTATTTTAATATTAACTTGTTAGCGTTGAAAACATCGTATGTGAAAAAAGTTTTATGTAGCTTTGACTTGCCATGTGTTTAATACGAAGTGTCTTTCTAACAGTCTTTATTCACGGCAAAAGTCTTGGATTATATCTCCCCACATACAATATCATGCCTGATGGGTTATGTCTCACAAAGTATAGGAATGGTCTATCAAATTTCAATCTCGCTGGCTGGGATCGAGCAGGTAATCTTGCCTGTCTCGGCCTTAAATGCAACGGAAGATGCATTGCTTCTCCAACATCGTGTGGATCATGAAAAGCCCTTTGATAATCCCTTGGCTCATCCCAATTCAACCATCTAGCACTTCTACGCCTTTGGACTTTCTCATCTAGGGTTTCTGGGTATTCCTCAATATGATGTTGTTCAGAAACAATGCCTTCACCACATGTAACGAAATTAGAAAGTTGCACCATATCCGATAGATACAAATTTTTCGATGGACCATTGAGTCCACCCAAATCTGCATGTTCCTGGTTAAATATATCCTTTAACCCCATCTTTCGCAACGAAGATGACACATTGAAAATAGATTTGTGAGAAAACCTTGGTATTTGTAGCTCTAGGCCCACTCGTGGAAGTAAGGTGCGTAAGAGCCGGTTCCACGATGTTGCGGGGTTTGATGCTAAAAGTCTTTTTTCGAGCGTTTCTAGATCTTCACCGTGGACTATATTTCCTTGTTGACCAGGCATGAGGAAAAGAGTGCTGATGATTGAGTTAGTATTTCCTAAGGTAGCGGCAGTAGCATCTAAAACCGGATCATAGCCAGCTAAGAAGTTTGTTCTGTAAACCACAGCTGGAACGGGAACTAATCGCCTCTGTCGTACATTAGGTGAAACAACAAAGTACATCTCTCCATCTCTTCCATCTACTGATGAACCGGTACAGTCAGTCTGTAAGAACAAAAAAACATATGTTTTACACATTTACAAGAGTGATATACATTATAATTTTTTTATTGCCAATTAAATTTATTAATGGGCTGTTATTTGTGTTCTGGTCGTTGGTTAGGTTAGTTTTAGTGCTGAAATTATTATAAACATGGATTTTGTACAAAGAAATTAATAGAAAATATAAGCCCAATTAAAATAATAATAAAATGTTTCTTTATAAATTTTATTTTTATAGAGATCGTACATATTGTTTGTTGGCTTCAGTTAATTACAAAAACTTACCTCAAAAATGTTCATCGAGAATGCTGCTAGCGGCGGTTGCATTACTATAGAATTTGTCTTCATGTATTCCGTTATTCTGCCTATCGTATACCTCTTTACTAAAAGATTAGTTCTTCGGCGAATAACATCACTTATTAATTTAAAGTTGATTTCCTCTACATGTCCATTGTAAAACTGTTGAGCCCTCTCTTTATAAAACGTCAAAATTTTACCCTTACTTCTGTCACTGTATAACTCTCTTATAAATGCCGACACTGCTACTCCAGATGCAGGGGAAACATCTATAGAATCTGACACATTCCTTAAAGTAAAGTGGGGGTTAAATGTCACCATGTCATCAAGTTTTAATATGTCATTCATTTCACCTGATGTGGCTCCTCGAGCTCCCATAAACATCATAGCCAGCATAGATGTTATAGCATAAGGTGAAAAAACAAAACTGCGCTTTTTGTCTATATTTTGCGTCATATCATTCCAATATTGAAATGCCAATTCATTGCATAATTCTACAAATTGTAAAATATCCTCACCTAAATCTTTAGTGGTTACTACTAGTCCTTGATTTTCCTTCGACACGTCTAATGATATATGCTTATTAGAGTTACTTTCTGGGGTGTAAAATCCTTCTGGTTTATATTTATTATTAGTTTCAGTTTGTGACTTTGGTGGAGGCACGGCAGGTATAAGTTTCCATGAATTATTACGATCGTTGGCAAATTCCTTATCGTCGATGTTAATTTTTTGTATTTTCTTTTTGAATTCATCTGCTTTTGGTAAGTTAACATAAATTTTGTTTTGAACTTTATTTAGTTTATTAATGCTAACTGTATTAACTTTATTTTCATTAGAAGCGGAATTTAAATCCTTTATTAATGTAGAAGTGGTTGTTTTTACTTTGTTTAACATCGTAGTTGTTTCCACTTTGTGTAGCGCAGTAGTGGTTTCTATATTTTGTTTATTCGATACACTGTGTTTATTCGTATCAATACTATCATTTAAAGTATTAGATTCTGTGATTGTTGCTAATGTTGAAGAAAGAACTGTATTTTGTTTGTCTTCATAGAGTTTTAAAATCTCTGGAATGGATTTATTCTCTGAACTTGAAATAGGAAAAAAGTTAGGTATATCGTCGATTTTATAACTTCTTTCAGTTGTTAACACTTCTATTTCTTTAATGGTCACTTTTTCCTCAGTTATAGGTTGATCAATATTTTCGCTTAGATTTTCTGTTATAATACTTGTGGAAATTTCTATTGGGGATTCAGTTGAATTATTTGTATTCTCATAAGAATCTTTAAGAGTTGTAATTGAATCTGGCTTAGTGTTGTTTACTTTATTTACATCATCACGGGAAGATACTATATTATTTGTTTGATAAACAACTTGAGATAACAGATCTTCCATTGAATCAGCTAAAATTAAATCGAAAGTTGTAGTTTCAATTTCTTCTGCGGCAGTTGTAGTTTCTATTTTAGTCACCTCTGGAAAAAATGTAGTATTTTCATTGCTATTTAATTCGTCTTGTTTATGATTGGTTTGATTTATACTTTGTTCACTCTGATTTGCATTTAATGTGGTTACTTTGACATAGTTATCAGTCATATTTTCTTGCTTTTCAATTATCTTTTCAGGTTCTTGAGGAATGTCAATATCGATATTTTCTTTGCTTTCCATAATGTTAATGTTATTTTCTTTTGAAGAATCAACAATATTGTTTGCTGTAGGCAATGGAGCATAGTTACCACCTAAATCAGATGCAATTTGACTAATACTTTGCGCAAAATCAAACATTGGTAAAATTGTTTCCTCTGTTTCCACTACATTTTCGCCTTTTTGTTCATTTTGAGATGATTGTAAATATTTTTCCGACGTTATTTCTTCAGTAGACGAAGGAATAGTCGACAATGATACAGATTGTGTTGTTATAGTAGTTGAGTTTATTTTGTTATATTCATCATCTTTATTAAGAGAACTCGATTCAATTAATGGTGTTACCTGGGGCTTTTTAAAATCTATTACAGTTGTACTGGGTGATTTTGTACTTTGGTTTATAGATCCGATCGTAGTTTTTTGAGTACTGTATGGAATCGTAGAGACTGGCACGAATATGTTCTGTATTTTTTCAGTTGTAGTTTGAAAGTTTTTTCTTGTAGTCAATAGATTATTCATAATGTTTTCAGTACTTATTTTCGCATCATTCTTGGTGCTTGGTAGTTTTGTTGTTACTTCAGATTTTGTAACAATCTTTTGTACACTTGATGTGGTGGAGATGTTATCTTTATAAATTGCTGTACTCGATGCAAGTGGTTCGATTGTTGTTGTAGAAACTTTTTGTTTTTCTGTTGTTGTCTTTACAGTTGTAGTCGAAGGTTTAAATGTTGGTTTAGTTTCTAAACGAACTGTACTTGGCTTTGTCATAAAATGAGTAACTGGAGCAACGGTTGTTTTAGGACTTTTTGTTTCAAGCATTGGAGATACTTTACTGCTTGTTTCAATGGGTCTTGAATAAGATGCTGAGTTGGCTTCTTTGCTAAACCCATACAAATAGTCTCCATTTAAATTGTCATCTTCAATAGTTTCAGTTTCAGGAGTTATAAAGGTTCCAGAAGTCTTGTCCGGTACAATATCGACTCCTGTGTTGCCAAAAATTGATGGCAAAATTAAACTCCATGAATCGGAAACATCAGGTGTATCTAATGTAGGCTGCATAACTGGATTATTTTTATGAGCCTCCATTTGGGCTTTTAAGACATTTTGTACATTAGCTACGACACTATTTACTTTTGTGTATGGAGGTTGACTGAAATTAAAAGCGATAGTTGGTTGATTTTCGTTAGCAAACGTAACTAGTCCATCTGCATCTTCT